ACACACTCACTCACACACGCACACTCACTCACACACACACACTCACACACACACATACACATATTTCTGCATCCTGTATTTTTTTTATGCACCGGGAACCGGGCGCTTTATAAGCGGTCGTGGATTATGATGCCAGTTTTTATAACAGCGGAATATTGGCCTCTCCCTCGGCTCCAACTGTGAATAGCACTATATCGCGTGTTTTTTAATTTTTATTTTTCAGATTTATTTCTAATTTGGTTCTCCGTTACTTCTGAGCACCGAGAGACCGCCGAGACGCAAAGCCTACGTTCAATGCCGTTGGAACATGTCCTATGTTCCCTTTCAAGGTAAGACAGAGCAGATATTTTATTATTTTTTTGTCCTCCACTGCATCTTTCTTTTCTGTCCTCCTCCCCCGTTCCTCACCATGCTCTCTCTCTCTCTCTTCTCTCTCTCTCTCTCTCTCGCTCTCTCTCTCTCTGTCCCTCTCTTCTCCCTCTGTCTCTCTGGCACTATCATATGCAATAGGCATATCTAAAAGCACCAGAGCCGACAGGTGCATAGAAAGGTGCCTTCTCGATAGATGCCCACATACGCACACAGGCACGCACTCACACGCACAGGGATCCAGCGCAGCGTGTGTCCGTATAGTCCCTGTCTGTGCATGCGGCAATTATAGTATTGTAATAAGGTATGCATGTGCACTGGTGTCACGGTCTACTCCTGCAAGTGCATTCCTCCGTTCGAGCGCAGCCGCACCGCGCTGATGGGAAAAAATAATTGTTAATCCTCTGGTGTTATAGAGTGAATACTCAGAAGGAGTTCATGTACAAGACTTGTCTGCTGTGGTATCTACTGTTCATATATTATGAAGTTTAAACAATCACTTAATGATTTTTCTTGTGTAAAATTCCAATAATATTGTTATAGAGGCATTCTTAATGGTGTATTAGGAGATCAGAGTGTGCTTTTAATACTTATATATTTTTTATAACCTATGAAAGATTCCTATTGGGACTCTCTGTCAGGCAGTATCTTCTGAAATATATTTGTGATTTCTGTCAGTAGCCTGAAAGGACTGTGTCCTGCCTCCTGTGTGCAAAAACTTTGGCCCATTAAAATATGTAGAGGACCAGAATGAGAGGCTACTTTATTCTTGCTGTTCTTTTATTCCCCCATACTCGAGTGTGAGTGGGTGAAAGGTGCTTCAGTGTACGGTAAAGGCAGATTCCCCTTGGTATCATTGCACTGCAACTGTGACTAATGCTGTATGTGAGCAGGCGTGCTGCAGTGAGCTGCCTCAAATCTATCCAGTCGAAAGGTTCAATTTTCAGCGTGTGTGTGCGTGTGTATGTGTGTGTGTGTGTGATTAGAGGGGCTAATTTAAAAAAAAAAGAAAAAGCAAGGTCCTCAAACATGATGGCCAGAGTCAGACCGGAGTGAGGTGGAACGCCCAGCGCAAAGTTTGGAGAAACCGTGAAGGATTGGGGGGTGTCGTGGTTTGTGTGAGTACCTGTTATCAAGGAGGGTAGATGCCAAAAAAACTGTAAGGCTGGGGAGGATGTGTGTGAGTAGATGTGAATGCGTGTGTGTGTGTGTGACAGAGAGAGAAAGAGAGCGGCAGTGTAGTCAGTGTGTGGGTTCAGGAGAGAGTGGAGGTGTGCTGCATGTGACTGTTAGGGTGAGAGAGAGTGATGTTTCATGTGTGGATACAAGCACACATTCACAGATCTGTAACCCCTTGTAGAACAATATCTGTGCCTCCAAAATGGAGACTAATCTCGAACCTGGAAAAACACAACTCTCAGCTCCTGGACTTCACCGTGACCCTGGTGTCATCATCTGAGCTGCACATGAAAAGAGAGACCAAATTTAACTGTGGCAGCCCGATCAGCTCCTTTTCACTCTGCTTTTTATTCCCTCAGAGCAAAGCAGATAATGGCCAAAATGCCCTCTTGTACAAGTGCAGCTATAGAAGTTGGTTGCATAATGTTGGTGAGATGCTGTGCCACTGTGTGTGTGAGTGTGTGTGTGTGTGTGTGTGTGCAAGCCCACTCTGGGAGTCATTGCCAGGAAATTGTGAGCACAGTGCTGCACCTTCAAAACCTGCCAGCGATGGCACTGAGTACTCTTTCTCTGTGATCGCACAGTGGTGTTTCATTTTAGACATTGTTTTTCAGAGCTAAGCAGTGTTTAGTCTTATCCAATATGATACAACTGCTG